ACGAATATTTTACCATGGAAAGTCAAAAAAAGTGAGTGTGTGGTGAAGCAACATTTTTCACAACAAAAAGAAGCAATATCACTGGTGGGTCGGTTTTCTGACAAAAACAGATGATAAACATGCATCATCAAGGCGAGAATGATCAAATAAAACTGTTTGGAATTTTTGTAAAATACGAGACGAGGCGAACCGGATGGGCAATGCTGACAATGGAACGAACCGGAGAGAGCACTGAAAAGTGCGAGACGCGACTGCACATTTGGAAGTAACTACAACTAGTGGAAGTGAAGATCTGATTTGAACACTCTGTAAAACTGACAAGCAAGAGAAAGAAAAAAAATCAGAACCATAGTAATAGCAAAAAATTCTCTACAAGAGAACTAGCTCATCATTGGCGTTACAGGTGCAGCCGATTCCCTCATGTCCGGCATGTAGCTGCGCGCCATAAGGCAGGCAAACACAGTCATTACCATCTTTGGTTTCCCCTAGAACGATATGCTTTAACTGTAACACAGAAAAAAAAAGAAATCTTCTCAAAAGAGCCTTCAAGATGAAAAAATCCCCCGCTTTCCGAACATCTTACCTCGACAATATCCTCGGGCAATGCGTAAATCTTGGCACCGATTTTTCGGCCACATGTGATAGCATACTTGGCGTTCTCCATTCTGCTCTCCAAACTTTTGTCAGTTTTTATCTGAAAAGCGAAATGTTGTCTTGTGTAGAAGAAGAAAAGGAATTAGACAAACCAGGCTTTGATTGATGACATTAGGTTTAATCGCATCGATTAGATCCAGAACGACAATAGCATCCGAAATGCAAGGATCTTGGAACGATCGTATTGACGACGATTTGCCGGAGGATCTCAGCTGAAATCTATTATATCGATCTGCGTGAGATAATGAACTATTGAACAAGCTTGATTTGATTATTGATTTGATTTGAGAAAAAATAATGAGCACAATATTTGAAAGCTAAATCGAAGAATGTATACAATTCCAACAAATGCCTTAGTCACAGCATGGCCGGTGCTCAAAAATTTAATTAGCAATGACTAGCTTACAAGTGCTTATTCAATGCTAATTGATTTCTTGAGCACCGGCCATACTTCGCTCAAAAAGACCAAAAAGCACCCAGATCCTCTTGATCTCTTTACAAATTTCCCTCATTTCTCTTGAAATACATTCCGCGCTAAGCTAAAAGCGCCAGCATGCTGGCGCGGAACGGCATGAGGAAAGTTGAAAAAGGCGAGAGAGATTAGAAAAATTTGAGCAAGTCTGGTTAATGCCTTAAAGGCAGTGGACAGGCAGAATGGACCCTTCTCAGATTTTGATGGAATTAGGAAGTAGACCCCCAAGTACACCGTAGAACAAACCCCACCTGCCAATTCATGCGCTAAGTCCTGAAAAA